TCCTTTGCCCATTTTAAAATCAGATTATTTGAGGTTTGTTTTGTTTTGTTCTTTATTTTGCTATTGAGTTGTATGAGTTCTATATATTTTGGATATTAACCCCTTATCTAATATATGATATGCAAATACTTTATCCCATTCCATAGGTTGTCTTTTCATTTTGTTGATAGTTTGCTGTGCAGAGGTTTTTAATTTGAGGTAGTCCCACTTGTTTATTTTTGTTTTTGTTGCCTTTGCTTTTGGTGTCAAATCTAAAAACTCATTGCCAGGGCCAGTGTCAAGAAGCTTAACATTCTTTGAACATAATAGCTGCTTTGTATTCTTGTCTGCTAAATCCAACAGCTGTGTCTACCCAGAGTTTCTGTTGGCTCCTTTTCTTTTTTACCTGAGTGTAGGTCAACTTTTCCTGTTGTTTGCAGGTCTCACAATTTTCTTGGACAGTTGGAAATGTTGGATAATATATTGTAGCAACTCTGGATTCTGTTAATTTTTTTTTTATTCCTCTTGAAACTTGTTTTGGGGGTTTTCTTTCTTTTTCTTTTTTTTTGTAACTTACCTGCAACTAATCTATAGAATCTTTCTCCTCCCCAGTTTGAAGCCCCTGAATTCTGTGTTCAATTTTTATTCTAATTTTAATTTTTTCTCCTCATTTCTTAGGAGTTACTCTTTGTCTGCATGGCTTAGTGGTCAGCCAGTTATTGGTTAGAGATTATGTTTAAACATTTTGAGTTTATAAAGCTTCCATCATTTTTTGGATACTTCTGTACACGGGTTCTGTACATTAAAAATTCAGGCAGTTTTTAAGTCAGCCTCAGCTTTTACTTTCTTCAAAGGCCTTCTTGGATCTCCCATGCATATGTGCACAGCCTCTAAATCAGCCCAAGGGTATGTGCAGAGCTTATTTAGCCTCTCCATTTTCAGGATCTCCCTGTTATATTTCTTAGTGTTCTGCCAGTCTGTCATTTTCCCCACCTGGTGTTGCATCCTCAGGGTAGCAGAGCTGTGGGCTGAGCTGGGAGGTGATTGTGGGGGAAGGTAGTATTCCCTAGCAACAAGGTCACCAGCCCCCACTGTCATAACTCCAGTATCGAGCAGTGTTTCTTGAATAAATGCTTTTTGATTTGTTGTTGCTTTTGGTTGATTTCCTGAGCCCTGAAATGATTGTTTTCTACAATGCAGTTCTTTTTACAGGTGTTTTGGGGGAGTGAATTTGCTGATTTCTTCATTCCGCTAGTAGAGCTGAAAATCTCATTTCTTTTTGAACTTTCTGACTTCTTAGTTCTTTCCCTTGTCTCCCAACCCCAATTTAATTCACTCTAGTCAGACTTTTGTCACCACTGAAATCACTCTTGTAAGAGTCACTAACATCCTGCATTTGCCATATCCAGTTGTCTTCTATTTTCATCTTAATCAGCCTTTCAGCAGCTTTTGATATAAATGGTCAGGGCCTTTTTCTGAAAACTTATTTTGCTTGGCTTCTAAGGTAATCTTCTCTCTTGCTTTTCATCCTACTTCACTGATTACTTCACTTGATTTACTCCTTTTTATACCTGTGGACGGACAGACGGATGGACGGATGGATAGGTAGATCGATAGATAAATAGATAGACAGATATAGATATAGGAATACATATATGTATTTTTCTAAACTTCTTCTCTAGGTGATATTATTAGGTCCCGTTGCTTTGAGTCCCCTTTATGCAATGACTCCCAGACATATATTTCCAGCCCCAACTTCTACCTTGAGCCTCAGTATTTTCACTTGGATGTCTAATAAGGATTTCAAACAGAACTCTTGATCCACTTTCTCCCCCAAATTTATTTTTAGTTTTTGGAATGATCATTTAAAACAGTAAGTCTGATTATGTCATTTTCTTGGCCTCATTGGCTTTCCTTTACATTTAGTGTGAAATTCAGTTTCTCACCATTATTAATGAGAGTTTATATGACATACCGCCTGCCTCTCTCTGTACTTGTCTCCCGCCTCTTCCTTTACTCAACATGTTGCAATCACATTATTCTTCTAGCTATTTTTGAATATGCCAGGCCCACCTCTAGGCATTTATATTTGGAGTTCCCTGTAACTGTAGTGCTCTTCCCCCATATCCTCACATGGTTCTCATTTTTATATCATTCAGATTTGTGTTCAGATCTTACCTTCTTTGTGAGGTCTACTCCGACTTCCGTATCTAAAATAATAGCCCTTTCTCTCTAGCATGATGTATCCTCTTACTTTACATGAAAATATATTGTTTATTCCTCCCTGTCCTCCATAGACTGAAAGTTTCATGAGGATAAGAACTTTGTTAGTCTTGTTCACTGCCATATCCTTAATACTGTAAATGATGCCTGTCACAGAATAGGCGCACTGTATTTGTAGAATAACAATTTTTTTTCTGTAGAATTAGTATGTCATTAGTGTATTAATAAAGAATGACTCAGTAAAAATGGTTAGGCTTGGGATAGTTGTGTATCAAATGCATCTCAGACATGAACTTTGTCTAATATTGGCTTGATTAATAATTTAAAATATTGCTCTATGAAATTTATATTTTGGATCTTTTAGGGAAATTTTTTTTTTTTTTTGGCTGTGTTGGGTCTTTCGTTGCTGTGCACTGGCTTTCGCTAGTTGTGGTGAGTGGGGGCTACTCTTCATTGTGGTGCGTGGGCTTCTCATTGTAGTGGCTTCTCTTGTTGTGGGGCACGGGCTCTAGGTGTGCGGGCTTCAGTAGTTGTGGCACGTAGGGTTAGTAGTTGTGGCTCACGGGCTCCAGAGCGCAGGCTCAGTAGTTGTGGTGGACGGGCTTAGTTGCTCTGCAGCATGTGGGATCTTCCTGGATCAGGGCTCAAACCCGTGTCCCCTGCATTGGCAGGCGGATTCTTAACCACTGAGCCACCAGGGAAGTCCTGGGGAATTTTAAAATGAGAAAATTTAAGCCTCCTTTCAAAAATATGAACAGGAAGTAAGGGTAGATGAATATTTTTTAAGTTCATTTTTATCATATTTTTAAAATTTTATTCATTTATTTATTTATTTTTGGCTGCATTGGGTCTTCGTTGCTGCGCACGAGCTTTCTCTAGTTGCGGTGAGTGGGGGCTACGCTTCGGTGCGGTGCGCGGGCTTCTCATTGTGGAGCACGGGCTCTAGGTGCACGGGCTTCAGTAGTTGTGGCACACGGGCTTAGTTGCTCTGCAGCATGTGGAATCTTCCCAGACCAGGGATCGAACCCGTGTCCCCTGCATTGGCAGGCGGATTCTTAATCACTGTGCCACCAGGGAAGTCCCTAGATGAATATTTGGTCCTTGTACTTGCTTCACTTATGCATTCTTTTTGATAAAAGATCATATGCATAACCTTAACACAACTTCTGTTATCTGGGAATTTAATAGTTCTCTGTTACCTTGGTTAATGAGTCCGGAAAAATAGATAGCTTATTTTAACATGGCTGTCTATGTTAAAAACAATATTAGTATCTGAGAGGAGTGAGTCTTAGCTTACTAGCAGTTCTCCCACAAAACTAGCTACCTAGATGTGAATTGGCAAAGTATAGCCATACTTCAGAAATAGCTTCAATTTGGAAGAAATGGAAAGTTTTGAAATTTGTAAAATTTTCTGTGTCCTTCTCTGTAACAGTCAAAACTCAGAGTCTGATACAAGTTATTTTTGTTAAAGCAAGTGTACTGTACTGTCTTAAGTTTCTGTTTATTGCTTCAGCTATAAACATAACAAGTAATGGAGTGAAAAATGGATATTTTATAAAAGGATTTTAAATATCACTGTGTACATAAGCCCAGCTCTCACAGTCAGTTTAAAGGGACAGAAGGAGAGTCATCTTGAGTTTCCTATTTCCTTTTAGAGGACATTCTAGAACCATCATAGAGTCTATCGGAAGTTTCTAGAGGAGGAGGAACATTTGCTTATTTCTGCTGCCATCTTCCAAGAACTGGAGCCCACTCTGCTCTAGGACAGTTCTGCTTATTAGGCTTTGTCCACAGTACACCCCCCCACCCCTCTATATTTTGGCCTTGTTTTCTAACCATAACATCATTCACCTTCCAAATTCCCAGGTATGTACTTTATGTTTCTAGCTCTTCTAGATCACCATTTTAATTGAAATTGTATGTTTTCTGTCCACTTAACAGACATTTTGGTATTCTTTCTCTGTGTTATATAATTTGGACTTTATTAACTGGATTTCTGACAGCTAAGTATAATGGTTAGAATTGTTGTTAATGTACATGTACTCTTCAAATTGATTACTGCAAAATTCATGGTGTTAGGAAGTTGTCATATTATTTAATGTTTTATTTTCTTGAAGCATAATTTTGAAACTCCCCAAAGAGAATATTATTTGTGGAATCTATAAATTTACCAGGACTATACAATTTCCAGCATGCCATATTTTAACTCTGGCAACTGAGCCCTTCTAATGGGGCTAACTCTCAGATTTTTCACTGTATCTTGGAAAATAATAGGGCTTGTGAGAGTTTTCCTTGTACCCAAATTTATTTGTTTGGTGAGAAGTTTGATTTTTATTATAGTTGCAAAATTTTATTATAGTAATAATAGCTTCTTTCAGATATCTCTTACATACTGTAGACCAGTGCTTCTCAAGCTATTTGTAGTGAGGTACTGGTTTTAAAAATTTCCAATTCATTGAAGACTGATATTTTTATAAAATAAAATAAAAATGAATTATGAGAAAAGTGAATTTTAAGAAAATACAAAATATAGGCCCCACTTTTAATTATAAGATTCATAGATATAAAATTATTCTTTCAAGTTGCAATAAAAGAGTCTGAACACTTTTTCTCAATTTCTATATTTATCTTATTGCAGAACAGTAATAAATAGTTCACAGACTGGTCTATAGATGATACTTTTTAGTAACATATCTATTGCCTGCTCTTTGTAGTGCTTAATGTTATTTCAGAAGCATCTTAGTCAATATGAATAGCAGTTATCCTTTAAAAAATATTTTCATGTGTTTCCTTTTCAGAACCGAGAGCTCCAAATCATGAGAAAGCTAGATCACTGTAACATAGTCCGATTGCGTTATTTCTTCTACTCAAGTGGTGAAAAGGTAAGTCTTGTAGAACGTTGATGCTGAATATTGTGATAGACTTGTTATTCTTCTAGAAATAGTCCATATCCCCCCTTCCCCTTGAAACAGCTTTGCTCATTGAATGGAAGTATTACAAAACACAGGCCCTAGTGATTCTGACCTCAAGATATGATTATTGAATATCATTAGTTATATCAGGAAAATGTTAATGAAATGATAGAGGGGGTTAATTTTTAAGAATTTTCTTCTTTTTAAAACACTTGTCTTCAGTTCTAAAGCAAATTTGTATATATTTTAAAACCTTTTGTGTTCCTTATGTGCTTCTGGAGCCCCATGATAGTTCACCTGTTTATTGGAGGGAGGAAAATGATGTCATATTGTTAAGTGGGAGTGTTGGAGGGGAAAGAGAAGCAGGAGGACTTTGGTAGGACCAGAATGAGACTTAAACATTGGGAAGCAAGTTTAACCTATCCTTGGCTAGGGAAAAAGTTGGAAAAGATATAATATTACAGAACTTCTTAATAAGTGATCACTATTTATGATCACATTTAATTCTGTGAAAGCAAAGGATAATTAAAGAAGATTTCATGCTTTGAATCCCCCTTGCCCCCTACCCCAACCCCCTTGGTCTTTCTCTTTAGAAGATGCAATGGCTAATGTCACTGTACTCACTGGAGTTGGAAGCATAGGAAATCAGTTTCTTCTGTTTTACCATGGTCTTTTTCTTTCTGTCTGTTCACTGTTCCTTCTTCCCAGATTCAGTCTTCCTTCACTGGTTTGGGGTAAGGGGGAGGGCAAGTAATAAACACTTCATCTTTTTGGCTAAATAAACATTACTTTGGATAAGTTCATTTGATATTTTTGGACCTCACATACCATGCTTATACTGTCCCAAAGCCCTTAGATCCATAATACCTCTTGATTTCTAACCCAGTTCTTTTTACTCACATATTTCCCAGTGTACCATTTAATCATTTTCCATTAAATTTTATTGAGATTATTTTCTTAGAAATTCTTTTTTCCTGACAGAGCCTGTAATCTGGGAAAATACTTATGTATTAAGCCAGAATTACGATATACATGCCTACAGATATATAGTTGTTGCGCGCGCGTGCGCTTGTGTGGGTGTGTGTGTATGTATGATAGCTAATGTTTTAACAACCATAATTAGCAAATTGGCCCTTTAGTGGCTCTCATTTCTTAGGTGTTTTTTTAAATTTTTTTTTTTTTTTAAGTTTAAATGATGGCCTCTGCTTGTATTAAGGACCATAAACCCTCAAATATTTGAGCTCTTTTGTTCCTAAAGCCCATTATTTGGTTCATGCTCCTTTTTTTTTTTTTTTTTAAACGTAGCAAACTGCCTGTTATGTCTTTGATCTTACCTGTTTTGACATGTCTTTACTTTTTCCTGTCCCTTCCCAAATAAAATTATGGAGCATCTGTTGTGTGCACAGCACTCTTATAATGGAATTTCGCATCCCTATGGGTTTTGTTATTAAATGTTAGACATTATAATACCCCAGGGAGGAAAGTAAAGGTCAGAACTATTTGTTCCATGAACCACTGAATTGCATGTGGATTCATTTGCAAAGGCCTCCCTACAAAGCCCCTTAAACATCTTCTCTTGATTACTTAATTTATATAGCTTTCCCTGGATAAACAACAAGGTCATATTGTATAGCTCAGGGAACTATATCCAATATCCTGTAATAAACCATAGTGGAAAAGAAAAAAAATATATGTGTGTGTGTGTATGTATGTATATAGCTTTTCCTGTATGCCAGGCACTGTTATAGTGCTTTACAAATACTAACTCACTTAATTCTTACGAAGATAAAGAGCAGAAAGGGAAGCACAAACCTTTTGAACAAACCTTTTCAAGACTACCTTTTGTGGTAGCACCTAAAGGCTTACCTGTCTGGTTTTGGTTTGGTGGAAGCCCCCATCACAATCTGCCCTTACCCTTACTTAATCCTGCGGAAGGAGTGACAATGGACTGACTGTTATCTGTGTACCCCAGAGGATGATTTCCTCCCTGCTGCTATTCAGAGCTGCTTATTTATCTTAAATGGTCTTACAGATAAAGAGCAATTGAGAAGTCATTAAGGGAAGATAACCGGAAGGACAATGCACTTCTCTCTATTATAAAAAAGAAATACATATACTTTCTAATATTTCATTTATCTCAGAACTTTTTCTTGAGTGTTGTAAGTTTTCCAAAGTGAAAAAAGATCCCTTTTAATTTTGCGTAGCTCCATTAAGAGAACAGAAAGAAAGGAAGAAAAGTTGTGATGTGTTGCTGAAAATAATGATCCTCCGTTGTCAAAAAAGGGAAGGCTTTCTAAAGATATGCAGAAGTAAATAGGTTAAGGAACTTAGATAATCTTCCAGCCACCAAAATGATAATTTCTTCTTCCCCTACTCATGATCTTCACTTCCTTGCTTCTGAATTGTTCTGGCAGGACTAACATCACTCAAGAGACCAGGTAGTAAACTAATATTTCTCATATGAGAAGATGGATTCTGCTCTAGGTTTGAGAGCTCAGGTTTGTTAGTTCTAACTCTCCAAGAGTAGGTTACTGAGAGTGAACTCAGAGCTGCTGTTTAGAAAGGGATCTAAATGTCTCGTGAAGAGCATTATATATTGCCTATGTATATATATTAGAAGAGTTTAGGGGGAGGAAATAATAAACTAGTAGTTTGAAATGCCTCTGGGATATGCAAATAGAGAGATGCCCAGTAGACATATACATGTAAGACTTCTAGGTGGTGGTGGTGGGACTCTAAGTGGAGAGATGACATTGACAAGGTTGGGTAGATAGGGTGTGTAGTCATGTTGTAGAGCTTTTAGGAGTCAGGAAGGAGGGGGAGGTGATGTTGTTTGAGCAAAGAGCTAGCAGTTTATCAGTATTGCTCTCTTGTCCTAGAATATGTTGAGGGTTGAGAGCAGGCTTCATTTGAGAGAGATGCAAGGAAACCAGTGCCTTTGGGTTGGATCCAGGTTTTGTCTAGGGCAAGACAGTGAAAAGAACCCTCTTTGAAGAGACTGGGGTTTGAAGCTCTGTGAAGTTTCTTTTGGGGTTCCAGATCGCTTGGGGAAGCTCTGAGCAGGGGATCTCTGGTAAGAACATGAGCCTAAAGGAGGTGTGAGGAGGCCATTAGAATGAGTTGACGGCATTGTGAGGATGAGAAAGAGAAGATTTCAGTGTTTCATCATTATAGGCATGAAATTCTTGTTAGGTTCTGTGGATATGTTTAAATATAAATGGGAATATTTTTTAATCTTCATCATCTGATTCTCTTTCTTCTCTATGATTTTCAATCACTCTGTTCTTCTTCTTCTTCTTCTTTTTTTTTTTTTTTTTTTTTAACGGTACGCGGGCCTCTCACTGTTGTGGCCTCTCCCGTTGCGGAGCACAGGCTCCGGACGCACAGGCCCAGCGGCCATGGCTCACGGGCCCAGCCGCTCCGCGGCCTGTGCGATCCTCCCGGACCAGGGCACGAACCCGTGTCCCCTGCATCGGCAGGCGGACTCTCAACCACTGCGCCACCAGGGAAGCCCTCTGTTCTTCTTTTTATCTCCTTTTCCTTCAGTCTCTGTCCACATTCTGGGTTTCTGGCCCTTTCACTCTGGGCGCTTTGTCTCTTTCTGTCTCTGGGTTTCTATCCCATTCTCTTGGTCTGTGGCACCCCCTCATATTTCTTTCCTCTTTAACTCTGGTGTCTATCTGTCCATCTATTTCTCTCTCTGTAGGCTACTTCTTTTCAACCTCTTTCTCTGGGTTTCTGTACCCCTCATTCATTGGGTTTCTACCCATCCTACTCTCTTTGAATATTTGATCCTTTCTACATTTTTGTGTAGATTTCCATCTGTCCTGAGCCTTCCTCATTCACTCTCTTGGTATGTCTTCTCTCTGAGCCTCTACTACTCCTTTTTGGGAAATTTTTTAAAACGGAAGAATTTTCACTCACTATCCTGGCTTTTGACTTCAGTACTACATATCTTATTCTGTATGTTCATGTTCTACATAGTTGTATGAATAACTATTTTTAACCTTGTTAAGTGTTCAAAATCTCATAAATGCTTTCCCTTTTTGCCTCATAATATTTTTAGTTATTGGTTATGTAATATTCCTCTGGGTTTTTGTACTATCTAGTACTCTTAACTGTTCCCCTATTGTTATTTTTAATTTTAGAATTGTAGCTAAGCTACCCAAAAGTCTCATCATAATTTTTGTCCATAAGCATTTTCCACCTCTGGGTTCAAGTAGGATGGCTGTAATATTTGACAGATATTTCCACTGACCACAGTTTGACTGAATGGTTATACCTATTTTGGTGACCTTCCCTTTACTGTGCTCCACCCTGCCATTTTAAAGACTGTTTTTCTTTAGGAATTATACATAATCAGCTTTCAGCCTATAATTGTGGAAGAGAGTAGCCAATGTAGCTAGAAGGAGGAGGAATTAGTCAGAACAGGGACTAGAAATGTGACCAAATTAGTCCTAGTCATTAGTCTTCAGGCTGGAATTATTAGTATTTGCTGTAATAACTGGAGCATCATGTGGTCACTTAGTATACTCCAGGTTAACCAGCAGATTTTATTAACTCTGATTTAGTTCAGAGTAATTAGTACTCTTTCTCCTTGATCAGAGACAAATGGAATTTTTAAATTTTGAACAGTCTGGGCTTATAATAGTTTTGTGAATTCCAAGTATCTTAGAGAATAGTGTTTTTTAGTATTAATATTTAACAATAGGAACCTTTTTCCCCCTAAATGAAATTTATGAAGAATGCCTGTTCTACAGGTAGAATAGATAAAAAGCAAAGTTTTTCTGGTTGAAACTGGGATATGGGACCAGCTGACTTTACCTTCCCTTGAGTTGTGGCTCACCTTTGTAGAACCTTAGGTCTCTGTAGGAGTATGGAAATCATATTTTGGTTTTATAGGAGCCTTCAATTTTATTTAAGTCAATTAATAGTTTTCTGTGAGAAATATTTCTCTAAGTAGCCTTACA